TAAAGGGTAGGCTACTAAAACATTTCTCTGCCCTGCTAAGCCCCTATCTCTACACTGCAATTCTACACAAGATTACCACCCCAAACTAAAGCTGGCAAGAACAGATAAATTCAGACCAGATAGCAAGCTAGCTCTTTAACGGGGAGGATTCTAACATGCTCTGACTCCATCAGGTCAGATCTGTCAGCTGGATGCACAGCAGCTGCCACGTGCATCCCTTGGAGACAGAAGGGTCAGAATTCAACAGCACGTGGTTTAGAGCCAGGTAACTGCTGAGGCTTTAGAACCCAGTAGTTCTCACCCCAGATCCAGGGGAAGCTCTGAAGGTCCCTAGGCCTAACTCACTCAACTAACCAGTAACTGAGGACATATCATATGCATAGTACTATAGGGAAGGACATTTGTGACCTTAGCCAGGATTTTACCTCCATTGAACTATTTCGTCATTTATAAAACAAATGAAGATAGTCTCTTCTGGCAAAAAAGTTCCTCTATTTTATTCTGAATGGTTAAGAAAAGCAGAGGTACTTTAGAGACATGAGAAACATGGGTATATTGACTAGTATTTACATTCATCTATTGCACAAGGACCATGTTTTATTTGTCTCCAGAGTCTATAATCATTGGAGAGAAAGATGGATTTCATAGATTTGTTCAATTAATCTAAATTAAATTCACCGTAAAAATCAATTTGGTAGGAGAAAACTATTTAGCAAAAATGATGACGTTCGACTAATGTTTACCAGGAGAGAGAGAAATTATGACTGTACACATCTATCAGCATCTCAGATTCACTGCTTATAGATTGTGTGTCTTTACAACATCACCAACTATTAAACTTTACAAACGTTTGGACCCAGGACTTTATTTTAAAATAACTAAGCTTCCATTTTTATTCAACATTGTACTAGAGGTTTTAGCCAGGGCAACCAGGCAAGAAAAAGAAATAAAAGGCATCCAGATCAGAAAGAAGGAAGTAAAACTATGTCTATTTTCAGATGACACAATCCCACTAAAAAACTATTCAAACTAATAAACAAGGTCAGCAAGGTTGTAGGAGATAGGATTAATATCAAAAAACTTAATTGTATTCCTATACAGTAGTGATGAGCAAATCAAAAATTAAGAAAAGAATTCCATTTACAATGGCAACAAAAAGAATAGTATGCTTAGGAAAAAGTTTAACCAGAAGTACAAAACTTATACTCTGAGAACTACAAAACATCATTGAAAGAAATTTAAAGAAGACCTAAATATATGTAAAGACAACCCATGTGCATGGATCGAAAAATTTAACATTAAGATGTCAATATTCCCCAAATTAACATACAGATTCAACATAATCCCTATCAAAATCTAGCTGATTTTATTGCGGAAATTGACAAACCGATCTTAAAATTCATATGGAGATTCAAGGCACTCAGAATATCTTGAGAAAGAAGAACATAGTTGAGAGAATCACACTTCCTGATTTCAAAACTCACTACAAAGCTACAGTAATCAAGACAGTGTGGTACTTGCATGTGGTATGAGGTACTTACACAGTATAAACATACAGAGCAATAGAACTGAAAATTCAAAATAAACCTTCATATTTTTTGATCAACTGATTATCAGCAAGTATGCCAAGACAATTAAATAATATATACTTTTCAACAAATGGTGTTAAGACAACTGTATATTCACATATCAAAGAATAAGGTTGGACCCCTACCTCATACCATATACAAAAATTAACTCAAAATGGATCAAAGATTTAGATGTAAGTGCTAAAACTTCAAAACTTGTAGAAGGACACATAGAAATAAAATCTTTATGACCTTGAATTAGGCAATGGTTTCTTACATTTGATTCCAAAAGCACAAGCAATAAAAAAAAAGATAAACTGGGCATATAAAAATTTTTAAATGTTTGTGCTTCCAAGGACGTCATTCAAGAAAGTGAAAAGATAACATATCTGATAAGAGACTTGTATCTAGATAGAGTACATAGAGAACTATTACACTTCAATAATAAAAAAGACAAATGACCAAATTTAAAATGGGCCAAAGATCTGAATAGGCATTTCTCAAAAAAGATATACAAATGGCCAGCACGCACATGAAAAGATGCTAAACATCATTAGCCATCAGGGAAATGCAAATCAAAACCATAATATGATATAACTTCATACCCACTAGGATGGCCATAATAAAAAAGTCAGATTATGGAAAAAAAAAAAAAAAAAGCAAGTGCTGGTGAGGATACAGAAAAACTGGAATCCTAATATATTGTAAAAATTGTATGAAATGCTATGGACTTTTTGGAAATCAGTCTGGCAATTCCTCAAATAGTTAAGCGAAGGGTTACCATGTGACTCAGAAATTTCATTCTTAGGTATGTACCCAAGAGAAATAAAAACATGTGTCCACACAAAACTTGGACATGAACCTTCATAGCAGCATTATTCATAATAGCACAAAAGTGGAAACAGTCTAAATGTCCATCAACTGATGAATGGATAAATTAAATGTGGTATATCCATACAGTGGAATATCATTTGGCAATAAAAAGGAATGACGTGCTAATACATGCTAAACATCGATGAACCTTGAAAACATTATTCTAAGTGAAAGAAGCTAGGCATAAAGGACTATTGCATGACTCCATTTATGTAAAATGTCCAGAACAGGCATATCTATAGTGACGTAAATAGATTAGTGGTTGCCTAGGGCTAGAGGCAATGAGGGGACTGGGAAGTGACAGCTGGGTATAGGGTTTCTTTTGAGGGTAGTAAAAGCGTTCTAAAATCAACTGTGGTGATGGATCGACAACTCTGAATATACTGAAACTCGCTGAACTGTATACTTTACAAAGGTGACCCGTATGCTATGTGAATTTTACCTCAATAGGCTGTTAAAAAAAAAAACACTACACAGATCCAGAGAAGTTAAACAAAACTGCTCAAGCCCCTAAACTGTTACGGTAGTATAATGGGACCTGGGTTGTTTTTTGTTTGTTTGGTTGGTTGGTTTGTTTGGTTTTTAAATTCCCAAATCTCAGGACTTTAACTCTTGTCATCTGCCTCATCTACAGCACAAGGAGAGAGGAGAATGTTTACGTGCATGCACTGCCCTTGGGAAGGGCTGCGTGCTAACTGGACACCAGCACTCAGTGCTCTCATGTTTTCGAGGCTAGTAAAGGATGTGAACAGATCTGCTTGATCCCCTTGAAATAACTAACAAACTACAAAGATAATGAGCCAGGGTCAGGGGCTGAAGTCTGAGACCTCAGAAAA